TGGCATCAAAAAGGCTCGGCTATGCCACCTGTATGCTTGATAAGCTCTGAAAAGGCCACAGGAAACCGGAGGAAAATATGTCTATGATTGAATAATGGACCCATTAGATTGAGGCCCTGATTTTTCCACAGGTGCTTCGGGGCTCAATATATAGAGCAGAGGTGTCAAATATAAGGCCCGTGGGCCAGATTCAGACTGCAGGGTGCTTAACTGTGTCCGGCAGGGCAGCAGCCATCAGAGGTGGTATTCAGCAGGTTCCGACCCATTCTGGAGAACCGGTGATGGAAATTTAGAGTAGTTCGGAGAACCGGCAAATCCCACCTCTGACTGGCCCCGCCCCCATCTCTTCTCTGCCTCCCGAGTCCCAGCTGATTGGCTGGGTCTTATTTGGTTGCCCTGCAGAGGAGAACGGAGCTGTAAAGCAGGTTAGCGGGATGGGGAGGGAATGGAGATTTTACAGTATCCTTCCACTGCCACGCCCACCAAGCCACGCCCACAGAACCGCTAGTAAAAAGTTTTGAATCCCACCACTGGCAGCCATGGAAATAGCGAAGGACTAGCCCATGGTGCCTCTGTCAGTGAAAATGGAGAGGGCTTCAGGAGACCATCCAGGCCGAAAATGGGGCCCAGGGGGCTGCCCACCCCCACCAGGCTCTGTTCTCACTGTCAGAGGGCTAGCAAAACGAATGAAAAAGCAAAAGAAAAGGAGAAATGTTTCCCCTGTTGCATTTGAGCATCCAAGAAGGGACAGGAAAGGAGAAAGAGAAAGAAGACAGAAGAGAAGATGAGAAGAGAGTAAGGAAGGAAAAAAGAAGGAAAGAGGGGAAGGAAGAAGAAAGGAGAATGAAGAGGGAAAGAAAAAGAAGGAAGGAAGGAAGGAAGGAAGGAAGGAAGGAAGGAAGGAAGGAAGGGAAAGGAAGTCCTGCCTTAGCACTTGGCCACCAGCAGACAGAAAAAAAGTTGTGATAAATCACGTGACGACGTGTCGTCGCCAGTTTTGACACCCCTGATCTAGCAGGTCAAGAAAACCCCGTGATATAGTGAGCACGTGGTTCAGAAAACCGGATAGAATAATCTCCATCGGGGGCGTCCAGCCGTAGCTGGCTGGAGGAATCGTGGGAGTTGAGGCCCACAAGCCTTAATAACGCTGCCAAGGTTGGGCACCCCTGACCTGCTGGGAAGTTGGCATTGTGGGAATGCAGCGAGGGCCCTTTAAGAGAGACAATGGGGCTTCTAGAACCAGGAGACAATTCTGAGATCGGTAGCTAGAAAGATCAGAACAGCTTAAGGGATGACCCTTTACCAACTGAAGATCGAGTAAGTTTTCTCTTAACGAAGCGATTGCTACTCAGTGTTGAGGGCTCCAACTTGAGAATGAGCTGGGTACCCTAGACCACCCTATCCCTTCCTTGTTGATGCAAGGGTGGGTGACCTGTGGCCCTAAGAGTACCTACAACTGGTAGTGTATTTTCCTCACTCTTCAGCCTCTTTTCAGAGTCTCTCCGCAGGAGGACAGGTCTCTGGTGAGCACTCTCCCTCCCTTCTCCGGTCCCTACGGCTAGAAAAAAAGTGGGGTTTGTTCACAACTAACTATGGTTTATTCAGTTGTAAGAGCTAGAGGTGATTCCTGTGGAGCCTGCCCCGTATGAGGTCTAGGGATACGATTTTTATTCTTCTTGCAGATTTCCACTTCCTCCTACAACACGCCTTCCTTTTCTTGGGAAATCAAACGCTCGAGAGAGAAGGGGGCCTTCCTATGTGCCTGTGCGCCCGCAGACAAAGAAATAATGCAGGCAGCCCAGGGGTGGGATGCTGCCGGTATAACAACAGGTTTGGTAATCGTGTGCTTTTCGTGCGCGTGGGCTTTGCATGTTTGCACACATGAACAGCAATGCAAAAATCCTTCCCGGCTATGTTACTTCGGGGTTACACAGCCGAGGAGCGGCAATCCACTCTTCCGCGCTTATGAGCTGGGACGGTAAAGCTCAGTGCAGCGTAAGGGTGGGCGAGAAGCAAGCAGACATGATCATCAGAGCGAAGCGGTTCGCTCCCAGCGGATCTTCAGAGCTCGGGGTTCGCCCGAACCGATAGAATCCCACCAGTGGTGGCATTCTACCGGTTCGTCCCGGTTCTGCCAAGCCGGTAGCGGTGATGAGTGGCGGAGGCCAAACCGGCTCTCTCCACTGCTCTGGTGTTGGGCCTGCCTGCCCGCTTGGGCTCCCAGACTCAGTTTTATCCTCTGCTTTTGACACGCCGCTGCTTTGCACGGCACCGCAGAGTGCTGCGCAGCAGCAGCTGAAGCGACTGGGAGAGTGCAGGCTTGCAGGAGGTGAGTTGGAACGCCTCTGCGCGCCCACCAAGCCATGCCCACCAAACCGCTGGGGAAACTCTTTGAATTCCACCCCTGAATCCCCACCCCTGACCACCCCTGAGCCCAAAATGCCTGCTGTTAAAGTGAGACATTTGCAAAAGGGAGTTTTGCCCCATTTTATGAGCCTTTTTTTTTTTTGCCACGGTTGTTAAGTGAATCCCTGCAGGTGATCAGTTAGTGATCCGGTTGCTAAGCGAATCTGGCTTCCTTGTTGACTTTGCCCGTAAGAAGGTCGCAAAAGGTGATCATGTGATCTACAGCAACAGTCATAAATATGAACCAGTGGTCAAGCATCTGAATTTTGATCATGTGAACATGGGAATGTTGCCAAGGTCGTAACCAGGGGTGGGATTCAACTGGCATTACTACCGGTTTGGTATTTGCGTTTTGAGGTACGCGCATCTACTACACTATTAGCTGAGCCACTGGGACAGCTGAAAAGCGTAGCACACAGGTGCACAGCATTTGAAAAGCCACTTTTTTTCCTGCTTTTTCAACCTCAGCTGTGTCGCACAAAGCAGCTGGGGTTGAAATAGCAGGAAATAAAGGACAGGTAAGAGCCCAGGTGGGCGGGTCAGCCAAACAGCAGCAAACACAGAACCGTTTTGGTGTCTGCTGCTCTTCAGAGCTAGCGGTTCTATAGAACCGGGCAGAACTGGTAGCATCCCACCCCTGGTCGTAACCATGAAAAACAGTCATAAGCCACACTTTTCAGTACTGTTGTGACTTTGAACGGTCACTAAATGAACTGTTGTAAGTCGAGGACTACCTGTACTGCTAGCTCGGCATGCTAAAACTCGATGTTTATCACCAATTCCCAGGAAGAGTGCCCCACCTCTGCCTTAAAACAAGTCCCCAAACAGCTTCTCAACCCCAACGTATGGAAGTTAAAATAGGAGAAATAGATCTATTCTTATACAGACAGTTCTTGACTTATAAACCATTCGTTTAGTGACCGTTCAAAGCGACAGGAAACCTGAAAAAAGTAACCAATGACCAATTTATCATACCTATGGCCGGGGCAGCATCCCCAAGGTCACGTGATCAAAATTTGGACACTTTGGCAACCGGCAGCTATTTATGCCAGTCGTGTCATCCCCGTTTGTAGAGATGCTCGGCTTTGCAATGGTGAGATGCTGGCGCAGTGGTGAGAGCGCGATACTGCAGGGCTCCTTCTGCTGACTGCCAGCTGACTGCAATTTGGCAGTTCGAATCTCACCAGGCTCAAGGTTGACTCAGCCTTCCGTCCTTCCAAGTTGGGTAAAATGAGGGCCCAGATTATTGGGGGAATATGCTGACTCTGTAAACTGCTTAAAGAGGGCTGGAAAGCACTGTGAAGTGGTATATAAGTCTGTGCTAGTGCTATCAATATCTTATCTTGTATACTTACAATTTATATTGACTGTTTCCTAGTATGATTGATTGCTTATTGTACCTGATGACTGTCGTGTCGAACCTGATGATTCTCGACTCCTGATGAATGTATCTTTTTTAAAAATGTATACAGAGAGTATCCACACCAAGACAAATTCCTTGTGTGTCCAATCACACTTGGCCAATAAAAGTATTCTATTCCATTCTATCTCTCTGTCTCTCACTATTTGTCTCTCTGTCTTATCATCTATTAACATCTCTACCTACCTACCTACCTACCTACCTACCTACCTACCTACCTACCTACCTATATCATCTATCTATCTATCTATCTATCTATCTATCTATCTATCTATCTATCTCTATCCATCCATATCACCTATCTTAATTCTATTTAAATCTATCTATTAGAATTCAGTATTGTAGGCTAATTCAGCTCAATGCCAGAAGTTCAATTCTGACTGGAAGCCTTCTCTCCTTCCGAGGTTGGTAAAACGAGACCCAGATTGTTGGGGGCAATAGGCTGACCTTGTAAACCGCTTAGAGAGGGCTGTAAAGCACTATTAAGCAATATATAAATTCAAATAATAATGATAATATAAGTCTTAAGTGCTATTGAAATTGACCCAGACTCATTCCGAGGTGGGTAAAATGGGGACCCAGATTGTTGGGGGCCATATGACTTACAATAGCACTTAAGAAGACTTATACAATATATAAGTCTTAAGTGCTATTGCTATTTGTAACCTTCTCAAACCAAAGTCAGTAGGGGAAGCTGGATCCGCTTAAGGGCTGCAGGGTTCACTTAACAACGGCAGGGATTCAATTAAACCACCGCGGCCAAAAGATTACAGAATGGGGTCAAGGCTCAAAAAGTCCCCGCTGCCTTGCTTAAGAACGGAAATCTGGGGGCTCCGTTGCACCCTTATGCCGAGGACTCGCCGTATCCGGGTGTGTTTTCTGGGAATGTTCCTCTCTGTTGGAGGCACCCATATAACCCGGATGGCATAAGGTCTCCTGCGGGAGGCAGGGGGTTGGGCTAGATGACCTCTGAGCTCCCTTCCAGCCCTGGATTTGCCGGGCCGTGCTGTTCTATCCCAGCACCGGAGGGAAAAGCGGCATTTCTCACACACGCCCCGCCTTCTAAACCGGAGAGAAGGCGCGGCTGTCACCGGGCGCACCGCCCAATCCGAGCCGCCGGCGCTCACGTGGACCCAGGATACGCGCGGGGGAGGCGGGGAGGAGCCGAGCCGGAGCTCGGCCAAGGCCATCGGCTTGCCGGGAAAGAGGACGGACTCTCTAGCCGGGCTTGGCGGTACGTGCAGGGAGGGCCCCCTCCGGGTGGACTGGGGTGGGGTGGTGGAAGCGGGACGGGGTCCCGGATCGCTTCTCCAAGCCCTCGGCGGCCTGGCTTGGCTTGGCTTGGCTTGGCTTGGCGGGGCGGGGGACGGACGGTCAAGAAGCAGCCGAAGCAGCCCCGCAGTGGCTTCGGGGCTCCGTTGCTTCGCGCGGGGCCGCCCTTGGCTTGCGCGCTCCCAACGGTGCGCTCCCCGCGGAGAGCGCACGGGCTTTGGAGAGGCTGCGCGCGGGGCGCGGGGGGAGCGCCGGTGGGCAGGTGCAGAGGCCGGCAGGTAGGTGGGGAGGGGCATCTCCAGCGAGGCCGCCCTGTGGCGGGGAATTTGGGGCGGGGGGGGGAGATTCAAGCCACCACCCCCCACCCCACCCCAGTGCCCGTTCTGCTTTGTGACAAGGGAATATATTGCTCAACCGGCACCTTAGAGGCTGGTTCGCCTTATGGGAACCTCTCGCGGTCTTCTGGAGAGAAGGGGTACAAGCTGGATCCAGATGCGCGGTGGCTTTGTGTGTGTGCGTGTGTGTTTCCCCCTCCCCGCGCCTTTCTCTCTCTCCCCCCCCCCACGCACCCCCCAAAGCTGCCTCTTTGTCTTAGGTTGGCACCAAAGGCCATAAAATCATTGGGGTCAGGAGAGTATTGGCTGAAGGGTAACCAAGGGTCCATTTGGACAAACAAACAAACAAATAAATCCATCCATCCATCCATCCCACCTAACTGCCTTTAAAACAACTTCCATAACCTGGTACCTGTTTATATCCTGCGGGTTTTTTTAAAAAAAAGAAAAAAGAAACAAGGGAAAAGAAAATGTATTTATTTATTTATTTTGTCAAAAGCTTACAATACAATAGAAATAAGAATAAACATAAGTTTAAATAGAAGAAATAGGAATTAATAATGGGGGACAATAGGAGAGGGACCGTAGGCACGATTGTGTGCTTATGTACGCCCTTTAATTTGTAATTGTGTGTGTGTGTGTGTGTGTTGTGGTTGAAACTGCCCAGAATCACTGAGAGTGAGTGGGCGGCCATATGAATTCAAATAAATAAATATTGGGAGATATATAGACAACTTTAAATTCTCATAAATTAAATACATAAATACATAGAAACCTTTAAATTCTCATAAATAAATAAATAAACAAACAAATACTGGGAGATATATAGAAACCTTTCCCGAAACTTCTCCTAGACTATTTGCAATATTTGGCATTTCTGTTCAGCAGATAGCGTGTGTCACCTGTGCGTTCATTTTCTTAGCTATGCCAACCTTTAGAATGCATGAAGCAGTCCCTCTGTATATGCCTCTATATAGGTACTCCTCAGTCCGCCACCCTTCAAATGGCAACCGTTCGAAGTTACAACGGCAATGCAGAAAGTGACTTAATGCCTGGTCCTTGCACTTACAACCAGTCCTTGTACTTACAATTGTTGCAATATCCCCAGGATCACAGGATCCAAACCCATGTGGTTGGTGTTGCTGCAATGTCTACAAGAAAAAAAATTGGTTACAGAATTATAGCTGTCAATTTGTGCCAATTTCTGGAGATAGAACAATCTTTGGAAAATGATATTTACATACATACTTATTGGCTTTCCACTCATACAAACCAGGGAGTGACCCTAACTGTTTGAGAGCAGGTATTTTCTTAACAGGGATGTTATTATCCAGTATTAATGTACTATAATGTGTCAGTAGTATTTTTTTATATATCTTGTAAGTAGTGATGTCTGTTGCTAGTCTAAGACAGTAATAAAGTTCTATTCTATTCTGTTCTTCTATTCTAAACCCATGTGGTTGGCAACCATCACGAATTTAAACTCTTGCAATGTCCCGGAATCACATTGCCACCTTCCCAGCTGGCTTCTAACCAGCAAAGTCGATTGGGCGGAAAAACAAGTCGCTGAAAGAACATGTGACTCACTTAATAACTGCAATGGTTTGCTGAACATCCATGTCTAAGAAATGTTGCAAAATGAGACAGGACTCACTTGTCCCAATTGCGGCCATAAGTCAAAGACTTATGTATTCTATAGCAGTGGTCGCCAACCAGTGAGCCGGGGACCACTGGTGGTCCGTGAGAAAATTTGGGTGATCCGCAGAGAAATGTCACTCCCAAAGCAATTAATCCAGGCTGCGCGGGAACACAAAGCTATGCCGCCCACAGGGCCCGTGGGAACACAAGGCTTGTGTCGCTTGCATTGCAAACAACATGAGGTAGTGAGGGGAGGGGGGGAAAGGGCGGAGGGGGGGAACTTGCCCTACTCACCCCACACACCTGGCCTGGCCACTGGGCTGCTTCTTTCTGCTTCTTTCTTCTGCTTTTGGCTGCACGCAAGGAAAACAGCAAAAGTCTGTCTTTCTCTCCCCCAAACTCCACCAGAAAAGAGTCTTTGGAACCCTGCAAGGCCTCCTGCTCCAAGAGGCTGCACCAGCACAACAAGTCTCACAAAGACTCATTTGGGGGAGAGAAAGAAAGACTTCTGCTGCTTCTGCTGCTTTCCTTGCATGAAGCCAAAAGTCTCTCTCTCTCTCTCTCCCCCTGAGAATGGAGCTGGAGCCAGTATCCTGCGATCCCAAATAAAGAATGATCAATCGGGAGGAAATGAGGTGGGGAAATTTCCTGCAGACTTTTGGGGGGATTTTCCCAGTCTCTCTGGTCCGCGGGATTTAAAATTATGAGTTTGTGCTTTCTGCAGAGACACTGGGAAAACATCAGCAAGCCACTGTCTGTCAAAATTCACATTAGTAGTCTGCGGGATTTAAAATTATGAGTTTGGTGGTCCCTGAGGTCCAAAAGGTCGGTGAGCCCTGTTCTATAGCAGGGGTCTCCCACCGTGGCAACTTTAAGCCTGGAGGACTTCAACTCCCAGAATTCCCCAGCCAGCAAAGCTTTTTTTTTTTTTAAATGCCTATAGAACAAGGTCTCCCACCTTGGCAACTTTGAGACTGGAGGACTTTAATTCCAGTCTTAAAGTTGCCAAGGTGGGAGACCCCTGTTTTATAGGCATGTTAAAAATGATAAGCAGTAGCACAAGATTATTCTTGATGAATGGAGCAGACCTTTTTGGCCTGGTCTAATTATCTGCCCTGCTTTGTTGCCCTCTTAACAGGCTACCACCCCACTGTCACCCTGGCGCTGCGTTGTTTGGACGGCGTGTTCCTTTCTCCTATGGAGAATGACTTCGTCGACAAAATCATGGAGGAACTGGACCACTTCCTGATACAGAACCAGCTGGAAAAGTAAGACGCTTCTCTCTCGTTGCCTCAACCCAATGGGAGTCTTGGTCGGTCTGCCTGTCTGGCTGCAGAGCCTTTTCCGGTAGAAAAGCCATGAGTTCGTTTTAAAAGGGATTAAATTGTAAGATTCGTAAAATTTAGCTCTGCTTTTCCTTAAGAGATTTTTCTAAAGTGAGTCTATGCATGAAATGTTCTTCTCCTAACAAACTTGGGTTTTGCTTCTGATTTGCATGGCTTGTATATATTTTTTTTAATCTTATTTTTATTTATTTGTATCCCACCTTTATTATTTTTACACAAGGCAGCAGACATATCCAACTCATCTTTCTCCTCTGTTCCATACAACAACAACCCTGTGAGGTGGGTTGGGCTGAGAGAGTGAGTGACTGGCCCAAAGTCACCCAGCTGGCTTTCACGGTGAAGGTGGGACTTGAACTCGTGATCTCCTGCTTTCTAGCCTGGTGCATTAACCACTAGACCAAACTGGGTTTCTTTCTCTCTTCTTGTGGCTGCTAAATTGTCCCTTTCTTAAATAAAAAATAAAGGAGTTATTGCGGATTTTACTTTGCTGATTGTTGCCAACTATAGGGGGAGAGGGGCGCGGTGCTCATGTCTGTTTCAAGGCCATTGAGTTGTCTGAAGACATTTCTGCGTCCAAGTGACCCTCTGTTAGCTTCCCACCCAAAGTGGTACCTATTTATCTACTCGCATTTGCATACTTTTTGAAAGTGGTGCGGTGGCCTAGAGGTGGCACTCTCGCCGCATAGTCAGAAGGCTGTGAATTGGTTCCTAGGTAAAGGCAGATATTTCTCTCTCTTGGCACGATGAGAATGTATCTGCTGAATATAACTCCGCATTGGCAACAGGAAGGGCATCCGGCCAGTAAACACTCAGCTCCATCCAGTTGCCCAAACTCCACCCCGCAAGGGATTAGGGGGTGGTTAAAAGAAAAAAAATGATGATTTGCATGCTTTTCGAACTGCTAGGTTGGCAGGAGCTGGAGCGAGGACAGGAACTCACCTTGTCTTGTGGCGTTCGGGGTCTCGAACACGGGATGCTGGCTTTCTAGCTGAGAAGCTCAGCGTCTAAACCGCTGAGCCACCACCGCGCTGCGTTTTCTTGAGAGCAGCTGATTTTATTCTGTGTCTTCCTTCCTTGCAGAGTCCTCTTGTTTCCTCCTCTGTCTAGTCGCCTGAGATACTTGATCCACCGAACCGTTGACGACGTTGAGCTCCTGAGCAGTTTTTCTGTCGGAGAAGGATGGAGGAGGAGGACGGTGGTCTGTCATGCGGCAGTCAGGTGGGAGGCTCCCGTGTTTTAATTTAGGGTAGTTTACTTTATTGTCATTGCACATTGTACAATGACATTAAATACCAACTTCAGTGTGCATCATGACCATGAAAATAAACACAAACACACATCCTTCGCAGAGAGAGAGAGAACATGTCAGGGAAAGTCATGGAATTTGCTGATTCAGACAAAAATAATAATTCTATATCGAAGGACTCCAATGAATTATTTTGTGCTGGTTATTTAGTTCTTAGTTTACTATATTGTCATTGCACCTCGTACAATGAAATCAAACGCCATCTTCAGTACACATCATGACCATGACCATGAAAATAAACACAAACACACATCCTTCACCCTCCACACATTGAATTGAAAATCCCTGACCCCACACCAACACTGCACTATACAGTAGAGCTACTGCCCTGGGATAGAACCTGTTTTTCAGCCTCTTTGTCCTTGTTTTTATTGTCCCGTACCTTCTGCCAGATGGTAATAGTTCAAAAAAAGGGTTCCCAGGATGAGATGGATCTTTGAGAAAGTTTTTGAACCTTCTTAAGGCAGTGGGAGCTATAAAGCTCTTCCAATGAGGGGAGAGGGCAACCAATGGTCCTCTGGGGAATGACGTTAACCCTCTGGAGTGCTGTCCTATCTGCCCCTGTGCAATTGGCAAACCATATAAAGGTGCAGTAAGTTAAGATACTCTCTATGGTGCAGCGGTAGAAGGTCACCAGCAGTTTTTCATTCAGTTGTTTGTTTCCTGAGAAGTCTCAGTTAGTATAATAACGGCTGACTTTCGGCGCTCGGGACTGAATAAGAGGTTTATGTAAAGAAGTAAAATTTAACTTACTGTTTTTTAAAATTAAATTAAAAATAAATGTATTAAATTCAGTGAACAGGAGGTTAAATTTAATTTTAAAAGCAACGAATTAAATGAAAAATAAATGAAGTGTATTAGACTAAACGAATAAGAGATTTAGGATTTTGCTCAAGAGCCGATAACCTGCAGCATGAGCTTTATTTCAAGAAGAGGACCTGAAACATTTTATTCCCCCGAGCTTTCAATGTTTCAAAGCAACCTGCCCTCCAAATGTTAAAAGGTGTCTCAGATTTTTGGCAAGTGAGGGGTTCTTAAATTTCCCCAAAATGAGGCAGCACAGAAGCCATTTTGGGTTGGACTTGTAGACGTGTAGAATCATAGAATTGATAGGGCTAGAAGGGACCTCGGAGGTCTTCTCACCCAACCCTCTGCCCAAGGGAGGAGACCTGGGTATTTCATAACAGATCACTCCTTTTCCCCTTCCACTTGCTGAAGAATAGGGACGCGCATGATCTGTTCTGCTTTCACACACCCAATATATATTAGATTGAGAAAAAAAGCAGTAATCTGCAGTAACTGAATGTCCATTTTTCTATGAGACTCTGGAAAGATGGTGACCAGGGGTGAGCTTAAAAAGTTTTAGCAAAGGGTTCTCTGACCGGTTGCTGGGTGGGCGTGGCCATGGTGGGCGTGGCCCATGGCAGGGAAGGGGCGTTTTTGCCCTCCCTGGCCTCCAGAGGCTTTCCTCGAGCCTCCAGGAGGGCAAAAACAACCCTCCCTGGAAGAGGGGGTATTCAGCAGGTTCTGACGAGTTCTGGAGAACCATTAGCGGAAATTTTGAGTAGTTCAAAGAACTGGCAAATCCCACCTCTAACTGGCCCCGCCCCCATCTATTCTCCGCCTCCCATTGAGTCCCAGCTGATTGGCTGGGTCTTCTTTGGTTGCCCTGCACAGGAGAACAGAGCTGGAAAGCAGGTTAGTGGGGTGGGGAGGGAATGGGGATTTTACAGTGTCCTTCCCCTGCCGTGACCACAAAGGCACGCCCATCAAGCTATGCCCACAGAACCGGTAGTAAACAATTTTGAATCCCACCACTGCTCCCTGGGTTCCGGAGGCTCCCTGGAAGCAGGGTTGTTTCCGGCCTTCTCGAACTTCCGGGAGGCCCATTTTGGGCCCTTCCCGAGCCTCCATGCACACCCTGCATTTACCTGCATCTAAAACAGGTCTCCTGGGGTGGACTCCTGGGAGAGCAGGGTGGGGTGGGCGGGGCCAGCCAGGAGTGGGATTCTGGTCTTCTCCGAACTGCACAGAATCTTTATCTAGGGCAGGGGTGTCCAACCTTGGCAACTTTAAGACTTGTGTACTTTAACTCCCAGAATTCCTCAGCCAGCAAAGCTGGCTGAGGAATTCTGGGAGTTGAAGTCCACAAGTCTTAAAGTTGCCAAGGTTGGACACCCCTGATCTAGGGGCTCTTCTGAACCCTTGCGGCACTCCAGCAGACCACCCCTGGTTGTGACTCAGGTCGCCCCTATACAGCTAGAAGATACCACTGGGTTCTTCAATAAAGATAGACTCTGGATTCCGCCTTTGCGTGGGGTAGTCAAAATCGGATGCATTTGGCCTCGGAGTTCTAAACCTGGACTGGCCTCATTTCTTGGCGTTTCGGATTCTTCTCTTGGATGTAGGTTGCCGGATGAGGTGGATTGCCCCAATGGTGCTGTTGAAGCTTCTCACTTCCACCACCCTCCCCATGCCAGAAGCAGAGGGAGCCGATCCAGAGGAGGTCCACGGCAGACGGAAGCCTTGGCCAACGGCCCCCAAGCCCGAAGAGGGAATGGCCGGGCTAGAAGGCAGCCGCCCAAGAAGCCAGACAGAGCTCTGTACGTCCCCAGGGCGATGCGGAAGAAGCTGGAGGACACGGGACAAGGTAGCTCCACGGAAGCCTTTGAGAGTGGATCGCATTGTATGAGCAGCAACAAGGAGGGATGTCACACATCCAGGACCGTTTGTGGCAGTGAAAGGATTGCAGATGGACACAGATTATCCAGCAAGACGGAATATGAAAACACCAAGTCTCAACCCCCACCCAAGCAAAGACATGCAGATATGGAGTCTGCTACTAATCAAAGTGACCGAGGTGTTCTGGGCTGCCCAGATGTCTCTCTTTGGAAGGAGGCACCAAGGGTATCTTACCTGGAAAAGCAGGAGAATGTGAAGGTGGCCACATTGGTATCCAAAAGTAGTCCAAACCTGTCTGAAATAGGTCCCCAACACAAAGATGGCGGAAATGTTTTTGCCCCACAAAGCTGTGGAAACACAGGTTTTCCAGAAGAACTGATGGAGACCTTTGTTGACGCTCTTTCAAAACTGAGTGGAGATTCAACTTCGCCTGAAGGCCAGAAAATCGAAGCACCAGATGTCCAAACATTGAGCACAATGCCGCTGTTCCTAGAAGTTTCGGATAAAAGCGGCCAGGGTTCCATTGGGTTAGAAAGCGATACGTTCTTGTCCCTTCCTGGGACAGATGCTCCCAATGATTTTCTGTTGGAATCTAGTCAGGACTCACCCCTCTTGGAAAATGACCACCGGACATGTCCGTGTGCCGATGGAGGAGAGGAGTGCAAGCTTCTCCCAGGATTGGGAACGAGAACTGTCGAGTCCTCCAAGGACTCACTGGAGTTGCCGGCGGAAACCCAACCTCAAGATTGCACAGTGGCACTTCCGCTGGAGTGTGGCCAAACCCAGCCCTCTGGACTCGTGAAGGAGGACCTATTGAGGTGGGACGGTTGCAAAACCCCATCTCGGCTAAATCCTCAAGCTGAACCCTACTTGCACACCTCCATCCCCAACTCCAACAAAGCCACGGTATCATTCGAAAGCCAGAAGAAGGAGTCCGCAAGCCTGGAGGGGCATCAGTGGCCGGGGGTCGAGCTGTCTGCTGGGGATAGGAGCATGGGAGTTTCTTCAGCAGAAGGGAAGAGCAGCGTATTCGAAGATGATTGCGGGACGGAACTCTTGCAGGAGGTAAGAGCACAGTGCCATTACTTGTTTCCGCGTGGCCAGCTTCATTTCATGTACTGACTTTATTTCGTCGACAGGGAGGCCTTGAGTTATGGCCACAATTGAGCCCCAAGTTCATGCTGCTAAGTGAAACATTTTGAGCTTGGCCCCATATTATGGCTTTTCTCGCCTTAGTTGTTAAGGGAATCGTTGCATTGGTTAAGGTAGTAACTCAGTCACCTTTGGCGACCTTCAGACAAGCCAAATCAATGGGGAAGCCAGATTCATTTTACAACCCTGTTACTAACTTAACAACAGCAACGATTCTGTGATGACCCGGGGCATGGCACGAAGGCAACACACCCAGATAATCAGTAGGATTCCCTTTATTTGCCCCTCCAACGTCCCGGTTACTCTCTGGCCTAGAGTAAAACTCTCCCATGAACCTGCAACAGCCTCTGGCTGCAGATACTCCAGTCCAAGTGCTGTAAGCAGAATGACCGCAATCAATCACGCCAGCAGGGCAAGATAATGAGTCCAAAAATTCCAGCAAGGCAGCTAATCGCACAGAAGCACGGCAATAATTCACAGAAGCAGAAGGAATGTCAGGAATGCAGGCTAACACTCACAACACTCAATGAATTCAGCGTTTGTTCCCGACACATGCCCCTCCCAACTGGCTCTCCTTTGAACTCCATCCCCAGGTGTGCCTTGTGAAGGCACGCCCGTAAGCCACGCAACCCACGTTGTTCCCATCTCCATTCCTGCATGCCCTAGGGTGAAGAAGGGGTGGGGCTGGGTCTTCCTCTGAACTCCCTCTCCCTTGTTCTACCTCTCCCCTGCTCTGCCTAGCTGGACTTTGCCCTTCCCCAGTTTCCTCCACAGCCAAGGGAGTCAAACTCCCGCTCCCTGTCAGCTTCCTTCATCTTCCTCCTCGGATTCAGACTCCAATGGAGAGAGGGCATGACAGATTCACTTAACAACTGTGGCAGGAAAGGCTGTAAAATAGGGCAAAATTCACTTATCAAATGTCTCACTTAGCAACAGAAATTTGGGGCTTCATTATGGTCGTAAGTCATAAGACTGCCGGTGCTTTGTATTTGTTTTTTTTTTTCATTTTTTTGTGTGTACGTGTGTACTATTTACTGACTGATTTGACACACGGCGGTAAACCAGTAAACCATCATCTAACTCAAGGCCCGCAGGCTCAATCCGGCCTGCAGGGTGCTTAGATCTGGCCCTTGCGGCCAACCTAGAATTATCAAAGGACCAGTCCGCAGTGCCTCTGCTGGCCAAAACGGGCCATGGGGGGAATCCTGCGAGGTCTCCCTTGGCCCATTTTCAGCCGGCAGAGTGGTGCAGGAGGCCGTGGAGGCCAACAACGGGCCGTGGGGAGGTGGGCGCAAGGCCCCCGTGTGGCTCATTTTCGACCAGCAGGGTGCCGCAGGAGGTGTCTGTCTCGTTTTCCTTTCTCTCGCCCCTGAGAACTACAATGCTGATCCGACCCTTGAAGAAATCAAGTCTGATACCCCTGGTCCATTGAGCACACCAGCTTAGTTTCACACATGGGAAGGGAAATCCATGGTATTTTGTAAAGTACCTTTCTGATTTTTTTATTTTATTTTATTTATTTTATTATTTTATTTGTTTGTCGAGCATGTATTAGATAACAAATATAAGTGTAAACATGGGTATTAATACATGAAATGGATATGAATAAAAAGGAACATTAGGACAGGGACAGTAGGCACATTGGTGCGCTTATGCACGCCCCTTACAGACCTCTTCGGAATGGGGTGAGGTCAACAGTAGACAGTCTGAGGTTAAAGTGTTTGGGGTTGAGCACACTTGTTATTTGTTGTCCTTCTTCAATGGGAGTTTTGTTCTACGATAAGCATCGTTTGCAGCTATGTTATTTCCTGGTGAAAAAAATTATATATCAGGTTTTGGCTTAGCTTGATCAGCCAACTTGCTCTTTCTCACTGTGCTGTTCGACACTTGGCAGAGATTTTTTCCCACTCTGATCCTTTCTTTGGGAAGTGAAAAGTAACGCAAAATACTTAATACGCAAACATGATTCTGTTTTTCTTGATTCAAAAGATCCAGTTTTTTTTAAAATCCACTGCAGTTGAACAGCTTTTGATTGTTAATGAATAATAAATCTTAAGAGGTTCAGGGCAATGTAACAACAACAAAAAACACAGTTTTTTAAAGTCTTTAAGGAAAGCAGAACTATCTTAAGGAGCGTTGTTGCTCTTTTAAATATTTTAAATAGAATAGAATTCTTTATTGGCCAAGTGTGATTGGACACATAAGGAATCTGTCTCCGGTGCATAAGCTCTCAGTTGTACATACAAAGAAGAAAGTGATAAATCATGATCATTTGAATACAATCATCATAAAACGTAAAATGCAACACTCAGTGATAGTCATAGGATACTAAATAAGCCGTCAAGATAAATCATAATAGGATGCAGTACTAAATAAAAGCAATCAATATAAATCATGAGATACAAACAACAAAGTTATACATTCTGTGTATTTGATTGTTATATAGTTTTTATATTTTCAGCTATGTTATAGAGGTTTTACGGAAATTGCCAGTCAACCTCATCAGTAGAATTGGATGCCTGCAAAGCTATTTCTGGGCTTTTATCCTTTTTGTGGGATCGAAAAATTGCTCCGTGAACGTTAATTAGTAGGAATTTATTAGTCAGTAGATGGCCATGTGAGTTACAATTATAGACATTGAATTCCAACAGGGCACTTCAGCTGTTGCTTGAAATGTTAAAAAGCACATCCAGAATGACCGTTGCCTAGTTTTGCTGATTGTGGTTTGTGTTGATTCTTCCTGTAGAGAAGCGAAGATGTGAAAAGGCGGTTTGCTTTCATTTCTTTTGCTCTTTTTTCAGATCACAAATTATTTGACCATAAAAGACATAAGCATTGAGAAGATTCAGTTTGATTACTCCAGTTATGGGGAGGCACAGATCAACGAAGGAGATTTTGGCCATGTGCTAGAGATCTATGATTTTTCCCCATTGCTAAAAACAGAACATCTTATGGAGACCTTTGCAGATTTCCAGTAAGTGGTGATGTTACTTGTTCTGGGTCGTCCCAATAAGTAAAGGTAAAGGTTCCCCTTGCAAATACGTGCTAGTCGTTTCCGGTTCTAGGGGGCGGTGCTCATCTCCGTTGCAAAGCTGAAGAGCCAGCGCTCTCTGAAGACGTCTCCGTGGTCATGTGGCCGGCAGGACTAAATACCGAGGGCGCACGGAATGCTGTGACCTTCCCACCAAAGGGGTCCCTATTTTTCTACTTGCATTTTTTTACATGCTTTAGAACTGCTAGGTTGACAGAAGCTGGGACAAGTAACGGGAGCTCACTCCATTACGCAGTGCTAGGGATTCGAACCACTGAACTGCCGACCTTTCTGATCGACAAGCTCAGTGTCTTAGCCATTGAGCCACTGCGTCCCCAAACTTAGGACCAAAGCAGAACAGCCTTACCTGGAGGGGAAATGCATTGTAACTTTACAGAGTCTGTGGAGATTCTCTGTCATCCAGGTCATGGTTGTCCCAAAGGTGTTTTTTCAAAAGGCAACTTGGATTTTCTGGTTTTTTAAATTTTCTTCTCTATGCCCCTTATTCCAATTCTTATGAAAGCTGTCCTCTACGTAGTAAAGGATATGTAGCACTCCTATTGCAACTAGACTAAATTTTCATTGCTAATATGCATTGTTATATGGCATGATATGTTCAATTTGGTTAAAAAGAAAGGTAAAGAAGTCCATGCACATTTTACTCCACTAATGGTTGGCGGCAATGCTCATCTGTCTCAAGGCCATTGAGTCAACACTGTCCAAAGACGTTTTGCTTCTCATCCAATTCTGATGGAATGGTGAAGGATGGAGGGATTTACTGTATATTCCTTGCAGTCATCTGGTCATCAGCATTCCTTCTGAGAGTTGTTGAGACTGCTTGGAGGCTTACCTGTGCCCTCAGGGTCACCTGAATAGTGCAAATAGGTATGGAGCCTTCTTGGGTCAGCTGAAAGGGACTGTGTTGTAAGTGGGAGAGGGCTGTTGAGCGACAGCTGTTCAGTCTTAATATAGATGGCCTCTTTGACCCCTCTTGTTCGGAAAGTCCATCCTTCACCATTCTGCCAGGACTGAAGAAGCTTCTTAGAGGAGAAGCGAAATGTTTTTCAAGGAAAAACAAAAGTCCAGTTGCCTTTTCAAAAAGCACCTTTGCAATAACTTTACAGAGATGTAAAAAAAACATGCAACACTAGGCGTTGCCGATAGCAGAATGGCTGACGTAGCGATAGCACTTAGATTTGTATACTTCACAGCCCTCTCTAAAGCGGTTACAGAGCCAGCCTCTTGCCCACGACAATTTGGATCTTCATTTTACTGACCTCAGAAGGATGGAAGGCTGAATCAACCTCGAGCCAGTCAGGATCGAACCGCTGGCAGTCGTCAGAATTAGTCTGCAATACTGCATTCTAGCCACCACGGCTCATGTAGCTGCTTCAAGACCCTCTTATAGCAATAGCACTTAGACTTATATACCACTTTATAGTGCTTTCCAGCCCTCTCTAAGCGGTTTACAGAGTCAGCATATTGCCCCCAACAATTTGGGTCCTCATTTTACCCACCTCGGAAGGATGGGAGGCTGATGTTATGGTGTGCAGTGTAGCTGGGATTGTGCAGATTGATCACTGATTGACTCTACTAATTTTAATATTGGAGGCTAAAAGTTTTGGTCGCCACGATGTAAAAAAGATGTTGAGGCTCTAGAAAGAGTGCAGAGAAGAGCAACCAAGAGGATTAGGGGACTGGAGGCTAAAACATATGATGAACGGTTACCGGAGCTGCGTATGTCTAGTTTAATGAAAAGAAGGACTAGGGGAGACAGGATAACAGCATTCCAGTATCTGAGGGGCTGCCACAAAGAAGAGGGAGTCAAGCTGTCCTCCAAAGCACGTGAGGGCAGGACAAGAAGCCATGGGTGGAAACTAATCAATCTAGAGAAGCAATTTAGAATGAAGGAGAAATTTCCTGACAGTGGGAACAATTAATCAGTGGAACAACTTGCCTCTCCAACACTGGAAGTTTTTAAAAAGATGTTGGATAACCGTTTGTCTGAAGTGGTGTAGGGTTTCCTGCCTAGGCAGGGGGCTGGACTAGAAGACCTCCAAGGTCCTTTCCAACTCTGTTATTCTAAGCATCTATTGTGGGGAGAGAACCCTCAGCCCATTTGTATAATTCTAAGACAGCTCTTTAATTTCACAAATCTAAATATTAGCGCTGACCACTGATCAGTACATGGGGCAGAACTGTGCAGTTTTGAACTTGATTCGGAAGAGATCCTGTCTGTAGATTGATTCAGAGTGACTTTAAATAGTCGGTTTCACGGAAGCTAAACCTGCATGAGATCCAAAGCCCTTCTGAATCATTTTCAAAGTACGCACAATCTTTTATATAACTCATTAATATTCAGTGTGTGGAGGGTGAAGGATGTGTGTTTGTGTTTATTTTCATAGTCATGATGTGCACTGAAGATGGTGTTTGATTTTGTTGTATGAGTTGCAATGACAATAAACTAAACTAAACTAAATTTAGCTAATAGGAATACTTTTTATGTTTCTACTACAAGGAGCCATAATGGCGCAGTGATTAGAATGCAATATTGCAGGCAAACTCTGCCCACAGCCAGCAGTTCAATCCTGACCAAGGTTGACTCAGCTTTCCATCCTTCCGAGGTCAACGGAATGAGGAACCAGATTGTTGGGGGCAATTATGCTGATTCTGTAAACCACTTAGAGAGGGCTGTGAAGCCCTGTGAAGTCCAAGTGCTATTGCTAATTTAAAAAAATATTATTTTTTTCAATTTCGAGGCTACCCAACTGGGGACAATTTATAATAAGAGGAGTATGAAAAAGAAGCAATTATATCAAAGAACGAGAATACAACTAAAAGACTGATCCCTAATTTAAGAAAACCATAAGAAATATTTCATACTAATTGTATAAAACTGCTAAATCTATGCTAGGCATAGTCATGTGTGCAGCTAAATATAGTTGATTGATGTCCATTGCTGACCCTAAAGTGGTTAGCTTTACCTTAAAACAGCTCAGGATTGTTTGGAGCAAGTATGTTGTATGATGAACAACTTACCTGGGAGTCAAACTGCTCTTTTCTGAATTCTAAGGTAGAAATGAAATCCTAGACAAGCCCCATAAGAATTCTCTAGCACGTCTTTGTCCCTTTTTGAATTTTTTTAAAATAAGATTTTTAATTTATTTTTTCATTGCTTTTAAAAGAGTGACAAAAAAGAAATGGGACAAAAAAAGTGCAAATAAGGACATTGTCAAAGAAAAACACACACAGAGGCAGTGCTTTAAAAGAAAATAAACAGCAAAGGAAAAAGTATACTGTATCATTTTAATAGTAAACAAGGGCTGCATGGTGTGTTTAATATTTATGGAACAAATTTATAGAGCTTTGCAACATGAACATTAATGTTGCAACATTAGGCATGTTACAAGCTTTTGTTTACCTTTTTCCTTTGCATTAAAGAAAGAAAAAAATGCTAGCTTTCTTGGAGATCGATGGAAAGATTGAAAAGATGATTGGTACACACCTGATCCAGTCATCTCGGAATAATAACAGAGTTAGAAGGGACATTAGAGGTCATCTAGTCCAGCTCCCTGCTCAAGCAAGAAACCCTATAAACCCTCTTGATCTCTGTGATTCAGAGATGTGGTTTACAATTCTCTGAATGGCAGAAGGGACAACTGAATCAGCTGCAAATCACAACCGGGGATTTCCATTTCAACCCCTTAAGTGTTTTAAAGCATACCAGTTGCCTTTCTTGAATTAGCACGGAAATCTGACCAATGCTTCCCAAGCAGGTTAGGAAGAAAATTACAAAAATAGCGGCTAAGCTGAATTTGCTTCCTGTAGCTAGAACTAAAACCCCATTTTTAATAAGGTTGGACATTCATGTTTCCAATCCTTCCTAACAGTCCTGTCTGAATGGGATCTAAGCATTTAAATAGAATGTAATTCTTTATTGCCCAAGTGTGATTGGACACAAGGATTTCGTCTTGGTGCAAATGCTCCCAATGTACATAAAAGAAAAGATACATTCGTCAAGAGTCAAGAATCATCAGGTACAACACTTAATAATAGTCATAGGGTACAATAAGAATAGAATAGAATATTGGAATGAAGAGTAGAATAAGGAATAGAATAGAGAATAAAATAAGAAATAGAATAGAAAATAGAATAGAATAGAATAGAATAGAATAGAATAGAATAGAATAGAATAGAATAGAACAGAATAGAATCCTATATTGGCCAAGTGTGATTGGACACACAAGGAATTTGTCTTGGTGCAAATGCTCCCGATGTACATAAAAGAAAAGGTACATTTATCAAGAGTCAAGGATCATCAGGTGCAACACTTAATGGTAGTCACAGGGTACAATAAGCAATCGAATCATACTAGGAAACAGTCCATATAAATCATAAGGATACAAGCGACAGAGTTGCAGTCATACAGCCTTCCTTTAATAGTCCTCACCGCGTTATGCAATGACGGATTCACAAAGCTAATTATGCAGCTTATGCAGTCTTTTCTTTGATGGCAATTGGCGGAAAAATGGAGATTAAATAGAATACACATTCTTCAGGACACCTACTGTTCATCCCTTGATTAGAGCGATGCCTCTCCGAGCTGACAGATAATTGGAGGCCAAATCAAAGAGTTGAGCATGTTGCAGGCATAATATTTTCCCCTAATTAATACACATGAAGAGAGGCTGGCGAGATCTTGCTGGGAAATGCAGCACAGAGAAGAGAAGAGAAAAGAAAAGAAAAGTAATAAGCTTTATTTTCTCCCAGCTTTAACTGAACAAGGATGACCTGGCTGTTCATCCATCCCTTGCTAGGATCCTTAGGAAAGATAATTTATTATGGGATTGGTTTCACTTAATCCTTAGGAAAGATAATTTGTTGGTGATTGGTTTCACAAAATTAATAATTGCATACATTTCACTCCCGACCTTTTTTTTCTGAGAGCTGAAGGCACTTTCTGTAGAGGTCTTATTCCCTAAAACATTGTAGGATAGATTATCTAAGAAAGATCGACTTGGTCCAAAGTCAGCAAAGGAGTTCATTGGTCCAACGATGACTTGAATCTGATTCTCCCCCAGTCCAATAATAGCAACAGCACTTAGACTTATATGCCGCTTCACAGTGCTTTACAGCTCTATACTAAGCAGTTTAAAGAGTCAGCCTATTGGCCCCCAACAATCAGGGTCCTCATTTTACCGACCTCGAAAGGATGGAAGGCTGAGTCAACCTGGAGCTGGTCAGGATCGAATTGCTGGCAGTGGGCAGAGTTAGCCTGCAATACCGCCTTCTAACCATTGCGCCACCATGGCTCTAATCTTACCATCCAAGACTTGGAAGGCCTTTTTCAGTGCCCTTCCTCCACCAATCCGTGAGGGAAGATACAGAGACGTCTCAAACAGAGACGGCCCATGTGGTGCAGATGGACGGAATTGTTGGGACTCGGGATAGCACTTAGACGCGTTATAGTGCTTTACAGCCCCCTCAAACAGTTTACAGAGTCAGCCTCTTGCCCCCAACAATCTGGTTCCTCATTTTACCCACCTGGGAAGGATGGGAGGCTGAGTCAGTCTTGAGCCTGGTGGGATTTGATCTGTCAAATTGAAGTAGGAGAAGCTTGCAGTTCTGCACTCTAAGCACTGTGCCACCGAGGCTCCATGTTATGCAAGCCAGATGTTATTGTTTCCGCTATTTCATGAATACCTTGATCATTCTGATTTGTTTTCTCTTAAAATGCTATTATTGTCTCAATCTGACTCCACATCTCTGTCTGCAGTCAAGTATTGCCCAGCAGTCTCCTGCAGCCTAGAGCAGAGGTGTCAAACTCAAGGCCCATGGGCCAGATCCAACCCGCAGGGCGCTTAAATCTGGCTTGCGGGAGTGGCCTGGAAATAGCAAAGGATCGGCCTGCGGTGCCTCTGCTAGCGAAAATGGGAATGGGGGGGGTGTCTGCGTGCAGCCCCCGTACCCCATTTTCGGCCTGGACAGCCTCCTGTAGCATCCTGCCAGCCAAAATGGGGCACCGGGGGTGGCTGCATGCGGTCTTCCGTGCCTCGTTTTGGCTGGCAAAGTGCCCAAATTTTTGGCCATCCAGGCCCAAAATATGGCATGGGGGAGCTGCACGTGCCCTCCTACACCCCATTTTGGGTGCTGCAGGAGGCATCCGTCCCATCTCTCTCCTCCCACCTTCTCTGGCCGGTCAGCAGAAGAGAACTACAATACTGATCCAGCCCTTGAAGAAATCTAGTTTTGACACCCCTGGTCCAGAGCTTGGCTTCTAACTGGGCCCTCCAGATATTTTAGATATTCTGGACTATTTATATATATTTGTTTCCCTCCTTTTGTACTTTGTTTTTTTAAAATTAACTGTGATTTCTGTATTCTCATGTGTTCCTATGACTGAATAAAGAATAACCTAGCCACGTGTTTCCCAACCTTGGTAACTTTGACGTGTGTGGACATCCAACTCCCCAAATTCTCAGCAGTGGCCAAACTGGCTGTGGAATTCTGGGATTTGAAGTCCACAGGCCAGGAAGTGGACAAGGCTGGAAATATTAGTCTAACCGCACCATCAGGTGCGTCATGTCTGCTGAAATCGTACAACGACGGCTTTGCAAATTGGTCCCATGCCACCCCATTTTGAAACCCCCATATCCCTGAGTTCGGTGCTATTCTCTGCGTACAACCAACCCGGGGAGGGGGCCTTCTATCCTGCTTACTGGGCAGGAATGCAGAAAACGCTTGGAGGGATATGAAGGCGTGACATCTGCTTTTGCATGAAAACTTATTCCGGTGAAACTATGACATTTAAAGCATTGCAACTCTGATCTTCTCTTTCAGAGAGGGTGGATTTAAGTTGCAGTGGGTTGATGACACTCATGCCCTTGGGATCTTTTCCAGTTTGGCAGCAGGTAATTTTGTCTGTATGTGTGTGTGTGTGTGTGTGTGTGTATGCGCGCGTGCACAAGTCTTGCTTTTCGTGCGTAAAATAAAGTCTGCTGTTGCTTCCTCTTTAATGGGTGTTGGTTAGGGGTGGGTGTCAGGATTCCGGCAGTTATCCGAAAGCTCATGGACACAGAGAGGCGATGGGCTGCCTGGGAAAAAAAGAAGCTTTCACAGTGAGATGGGCACTCCTAACCTGGTGCCACTTTCTAGAACGGGGACAGAGGTCGTTCAAAGTCTGGACCGACCATAAAAATCTGGAGGCGCTTCGGACCCCATGAAAACCATCACCCAAACAAGGCCGCTGGGCTCAATATTTCAACCGATTCAATCTTCGTGCTAAAGCACATCCCAGGGGGAAGGAACTTTCTGGCTGACGCCCTCTCCCATATTCCCCAGTACAAGTTCCCCCGGTTTGGACTGGTTTGGGTGAACCCCTTGTTCCAATGATCAGCTGGCTCCGAACCGGTTCACTCGGACGAGCATGTAAGCCCACCCACTTCCCTCTTTCCTTTTCTTAAAGCACAGCTGATTCGCAGGGCAGAGCGGTTCGCTGTGCCTCAGCTGTTTTATTCACAGGGACTGGGGCAGAAGGTAAATATTAGAACTGAAAATGGGCTTTTTTAAAACGCGGACCACACACATGGACCGCCCGAAGTTCCCCGATCACCCAACTAGTTCTTGCATCGCTTGAATCACACCCACTGGTGTTGATGCCTTGTCCTCTCCTCTCCCTCTGCAAATTGGGTTGGAAGAACTTCATAAGCCATCATCACACACATCACGCTGCATTGGTAAGGCCACATTTGGAATACTATGCCCCGTTCTGGTCACCATGAAATAAAAAAAGATGTTGATACTCTAAACCAGGGGTGTCAAACTCAAAGCCCGCAGTCCAGGTCCGGCCTGCAGGGTGCCTAGGTCTGGCCCGTGGGGCCACCCTAGAAACAGCGAGGGACTGGCCCGTGGTGCCTCTGACCACAGGCTGCGAGCTCTGTTTTCGCTGGCAGAGGGCTGCAGGAGGCTGTCACAGCTAAAAATGGAGCCAGGGAGGGTGTTGTGGTTCGCCGGCAGCGGGTGCAGACGGCTGAGGTCTCGAAGAATGAGGACTTGGATGAGGGGCCTGCATGTTATGCAGGTATGGGGCTAGGACTATCGGAGAATGGGGTGCTGCCTTCAGAGCTTGTGGAGTCTGGCACCAGTGACGAAGAGGATCTGGGGTGCCTGTGCCCAGTGTGCGTGTGCGCAGGGCTGCTCGAAGGAAAGAGTAGCTGAAGCAGCAAACATGACTTGGGAGTAAGGCTGGGAGGTGATGGCTCCTCCCATAAGAGATAAAAGCCAGCCTTCGGGGTTGGCTTCTTTGCAGGAAGCAACTCCCAAGTTCTTGTGGAAGTCCTGTCTGTTTGGAGATTTTTGGTTTGGAATATTTCTCTACAGTTAATCTTGTATTTTTGGCTGCCTTTCGTAACTTTGAAATGTCTTGCTCTTATCTGGGACAATTAGTTTTAATGACTTTGCTGTGAATGAACAGAATTCACAAAGACACATTAAAAAGGTTTGCTTTTATATATGTGTTTATTTTATTTGAACAAGGCTTGGGTCAAAACAGAGGGCCGCATGCACCCCGCTGAACTCCATTTTCACTGGCAAGTTGCTAGCAAAACAAAATCCTAGCAAAAGTGGATCTCCCCAGCCCACAGGTGCCCCTGACATGAGTGACATGGAGTGGGCTACGCCCACCCTGGCCATGCCCTCCAAAGGTCAAATACAACCCTGATGCGGCCTTCAATGAAATTGAGTTTGACACCCCTGCTCTAGAACAGACTTGTCAAACACAAGGCCCATGGGCCAGATCCTGGGCATCCTTGGGCTACTGTAGATGAATGCATGGACCCCGTCTTCAGGTCCCTGGGACAGGAAAAGGCCACACAATTTTATCCCCCCCCCCTCCCCCCCCCAAGGCAACCTCTCATAAAGAGCTCTCTTTTGTGAGACCAACTCATGGAGCATTGAGCTCAAAAGTGTCAACTTATAAAATATTTCTATGGTCTTTTTAGAGTTGCCGACAGAAAGGGAGGGGAGAGCAATGTAATAGCTTGCAAAACCGAAAGTGCATTCCATAAATGTTTTCAAAGATAGTAAATAGGTGACCGAAAAATTCTAACTGGAGAACACGATTGATGACTCTTGGCTATGGATGTGTCCCAGTGGAGAATATGAATTACCATACACCCAGGGGGTGGAGGGAAGGCCAAGGGTGACAATGAATTGCGTGTCTCAGAGTCGGCTACACCCAGGCAATGCCGGACAGTTTAATTCCCAATAAATCCTTTCTGAGTTTTGGAAGTTTGGCTCGAGACTCACGATTTAAATGGGGGGTAACTGCTGGAATCCCGACAGCTAGCCGAATCTGAGACACAAGTATCTGCTGTGAATCGGTGTCTCAAAGGACTCTCTCTCATTTTTTAGCATCTCAAGCCCTGGAACAGAACTATACCTCCGTCAAAATCCGGCCTCTGATCCATGGAACGAGACAGTCAAAAATCAAGGCACTTCAGCGTCCAAGTAAGATATGAAGCAAATTTGGCATGCCTCTTCCTAAAAGCTGTGGAGGACGACTTCTATGCAAAATGGAGGTGGACTTATGTCACTTTACTTCTAAATTCTAGCCTAGTCTTGCAATGACTTGCGAGTGCCAGGGAAATCCCTGGGGGCAAATAGGTGGGTGGGCCAAAGGAAGGACCAGTCTCTTTCTTCTTCCTTTGTTTGGCTTCTGTGCTGCTGTTCAAAGAAGGAATGCACATTTTCCATCTCTTGTCATTTCTAGAAGGTGATGATTTAAAAATCGTTTTGCTAATAAATTAGTGCTCCTGCATTTGAGATGCTGGCCTCACTGACACGTCACAGGTGGCCCAGAAACATAGATGGCTGATAAGCTTCTGAAAAGGCTAACGGTTTTTCTGGTCGTCTCGCATCTAGAATATTTAGAAAGTATGTAGGTCTAGTTTAGTTCAGAAAAACAGCTAAGTTGGGATTGGTTGAGAGTATCGATGATCATAATAATGAGTGGTGCGATGGCCAGGAGGTGGCGCTCTCGCCTCACAATCAGGAGGCTGTGAGTTCGATCCCAGGTAGAGGAAGATATTTCTTTCTCTGGGCACACCGAGAATTTTATCTGCTGAGCAAAACTCCGCATTGGTGACAAGAAGGGCATCCGGCCAGTAAACACTCAGCTCCATTCAGTTGCCCGGACTCCACCCCGCAAGGGATTATGATGATGATCGATGACCATAATAGGGTAAAGCTGCTGCACAAAAGCTACTGACCTTTCGCATCCTGGGAAACAGTCTTTACTGCTGCATAAATGGGCAGTGCTAAAGTTTTGGATTCCTGGCCCTTGTTTTTGAAACCAGTGTCTGGAAGAAGGACTGCAGCTTACTATCAAGACTTGAAGAACTGTGTCTTGCTTTTTTGGTATATATTTATTGATAAGATATTGGAAGATATTGTAAGAAAATAGATTAACAGAGTTGGAAGGAACCCGGTAGGTCATCTAGTCCAAGCAGGAGCCCCTACACCAGTGGTGGTTAACCTTTTGGGGCTACTGTGCCCAAAATTGCTCACGTGTTAGCGCACATGCACTCATGTGCCAGCATCCAGAATGCAACGTGTCTCAGATTCGGCTAGCTGTCGGGATTCCAGCAGTTACCCCCCATTTAAATCATGAGTCTCGAGCCAAACTTCCGAAACTCAGAAAGGATTTATTGGGAATTAAGCTGTCCGGCGTTGCCTGGGTGTAGCTGACTCTGAGACACACAATTTATTGTCACCCTTGACAGTTTTTCATTCAGTTGTTCGTTTCCTGAGAAGCCTCAGCTAGTATAACCTCTGCTGGGCCCTTTGTGTCTCGGAGTCGGCTACACCCAGGCTAGTTGCTTCTCACTGGACGTAGCCTATTACAGGACAAAGTACTAAAGCTTTCTTCTACAGGAGAAAGTACTAAAACTGTCCCCACCTTTAGTGGGGCAGAAATTCTAACGTCGGTTAACTGTTGGGATGATTTGAGAGAGGTAAGAAGCCGTGGTGAGGTTTCTCTGAGTTGAATACAAGAGTAGATTGTTAACAAAGGGTCTTGACATTTTAAATCTTGTCGTTTGTTGTTGTTGTTGTGCTACCGATGCACTTTTCCTGCTATTAATATAGTAGATGGATGACAGGTTCATAATTTGCAGAGTCAGAAGTTCAAAAATTTCGGGCCTGTTTGGCAAGTGGTGGGAAACAGACCCTGTGGCAGTATATTTATTAATATTGAACTAGAGAGGCTAGTACAGGCAGTCCTCAACTTACAACCACCATCGAGCCCCAAATTCTTGTTGCTAAGTGAGACATTCATTAAGTGAGTTTTGCCCCGTTTTACGATCTTCCTTGGCACACTCATTAAGTGAATTTGCAGCAATTGCTAAGTTGGTAACACGGCTGTTAAGAGACTCTGACTTTCCCGTCGACTTGGCTTGTCTGGCAGTCGCAAAAGGGGATCGTGTGACCTCAGGATGCGGCAGCGGTCATAATTGCATGCCCGTAGCCAAGGGTCTGGATCTTGGTCATGTGACCACGGGGAAGCTGCATCGGATGTTAAGTGTGAAAAACGATCCTTTTTTTCAGTGCTGTTTGTCTGTAAGTTTGAACAGTTATTAAATGAACTGTTCCAAGTCAAGGACTCCCAGTATGTGACTAGAATAGAATATGGAATAGAATAGGGAAGGGAAGAGACAGAATAGGAATAGGAAGAGGAAGGAAAAAAATTAGAAGAAAAGAGAACAAAATTAGAAGAGAAAGGAATAGGAATGAGAAGAGAAGAGAAGAGACAGAATAGGAATAGGAATAGAACAAAATTAGAAGAGAAAGGAATAGGAATGAGAAGAGAAGAGAAGAGAAGAGAAGAGAAGAGAAGAGACAGAATCGGAATCGGAATCAGAATCAGAATCAGAATCAGAATCGGAATCGGAATCGGAATAGGAATAGGAAGAGAACAAAATTAGAAGAGAAGAGAAAATTAGAAGAGAAAGGAATAGGAGTAGGAAGAGAAGAGAAGAGATGGAATAGGAATAGAACAAAACTAGAAGAGAAGAGAAAGGAATAGGAATAGAATAGAATTAGAATAAGAGTAAGGGTAAGAGTAAGAGTAAGAATAGAAGAGTTGGAAGGGACCTCGGAGGTCTTCTAGTCCAACCCCCTGCTTAGGCAGGAAACTCTACACACTTCAGACAAATGGTTGTCCAACATCTTTTTAAACGTACGTGTGTGTGTTTGTTAAAGCACATTTTTAATGTGTTTGTTTTCTTTGTTTATTTTGGTAAATAAACCCCTTTTTTGGAATTTTGTATTTTAACTTTTTTAGAATGATAGATAGATAGATAGATAGATAGATAGATAGATAGATAGATAGATAGATAGATAGAAATTCTAACATCAAAATCTTCTGTACATTTAGATTAGATCTGATCTACTTGATGAAATCAAATGATTTGTAGCTTCGGGCCCATTGGGCCAGGCTTCATAAGGCTCCTTCTCCAGTTCTTTCCCAATTCTTCTATTCCTTCCCTGCCAACTCTCTCTCTCTTTTTTTTCCTTCCTCAGAGCTCCTTCAGTTGGCTAAAGAAAGACCCCAGACAGATACAGCAGTTGCCAGAAGACTAGTAACCAGAGCCTTAGGATTACAACGCAAATATCAGCAGAACTCAGGCTGCCAAGGATTGGAATCGGCAGCCACCAACCTGCCAGATTAAAAACCAGAGAGTGGTTTGAAGTGACTTGGGGTGGCATTAAAACAATGTATACAACCGTGTGATGACGGCAGGGTCTCCTCTGTTCTTTTGGGTTGTGTTGTTGTTGTTGTTGTTTTGGAGTAGCAACAGGCCGGTGGCAATAATCACAACTTTATATGTGTTAGAACTGGCAGAGTTGGTTTGAGTTCATCCGTGGGGATTGATGAATGGGACAGAGGCTGATCCAGGGAAGGCCCCACTGGAGGGCACTGCAACCCTTAAAGAGAAGATCTTCGCCTGCCAACTCAAAGTATTACCAGAAAACAACTTGATTGAACACCTTTTGTTAGCATGGGAAGGGATAGGGCTGATTAGTTTTTGAAAACCTGTTTTTGAAACCGTTCTGCAAAAAGTTGGCTGGGAAAACTGGCATCTCGTTGCCGTCAAGAGACAGAATTAAAATTCTTTCAACTAGTATCAAATGTTCTCCGTTCCTCCTCGTGCCTTTTGTCTGTTTGACACCCCGCCCCCCCCCCAAACCTGCTGTCCCTTTCAAAGCTCGGGTTACTCTCAGGTTACAAGTTGGAGACAGGAGAAGAATTCCTTGGCCGGGAAGAACGCACCGTAGCTTTTGATCAATCGGTCAAAATCAGTTGCTCTGGTTTCATAACCCACAGAACTTCTGTGGATGCCTTTGCCCAGTTCCAGCGCCCGAAGACATTTGAGAAATAACACGTTTGGATTCTGGCAGGTGGAGTTTTGGATTCCCCCAAGAAGTCCTTCAAGCAGAGATAGGTTTTTTTTCCCCCCCCAGGGAGGGTTTCTGCAGCTACTGCTTGACTTCAGAAGGATGGCTAACGTTCTAGGAGGGTGCGACATTAGCCTCTCGGTGCCCTCCGAAAGCACATTCTTGGAATTGAAAGTGTCGCACAGCACCAGGAGGTGGTAGCTTTCCACTTTTGGGGAAAGCTATAGGAAAAAATAGGGAGGACTGAAATGTAATTAGTGCCCTCTTGCCATAACTCTCCCAGGAACTATGTAATGGCTTAGATCAGGGGTATCAAACTCGATTCCAGTGAGGGCCGCATCAGGGTTATGTTTGACCTTGGAGGGCTGGGGTGGGTGTGGCCGTGTAGGTGTGGTCAGGGTGGACGTGGTCAGCTCAATGCCACTTGTGTTGGGCATCTGTGGTGGCCAAGTGCTGAGGCACAACTTTCTTCAGACCCTCACTCTCATATCCTTCTTTCCTTCCCTCCTTCCTTCCTTTTCTGCTTTTCCCTTCCCTCTCAATTCTCCTCCTTCCTTCTGCTCTTTCCTTATTTTTCCTTCCTTGCTCTCTTCCCTTCCTTCCTTCCTTCCTTCCTTCCTTCCTTCCTTCTTTCCTCTTTCCCATTCTCCTTTCCTGTCCCCTCTTGCATACTCAAATGCAAAAGGGGAAACCTTTCTCCTTTCATTTTCTTTTTAGTTTGTTTTGCTAGCTCTCTGCCTGCAAAAAACCGAGCTTGGCATGTTGTGCGTGTGGGCCCCCAGGCCCCATTTTCAGTTACGGCAGCTTCCTGTAGCCCCCTGCTGGCAAAAATGAGGCTGGTGGGGGGCCCCTCTGAGGTCCGTTTTCGCTGGCAGAGGCACTGTGGTCCAGTCTTTTGCTGTTTTCAGGGCAGTCTCATGGGCCAGAAAGAAGGAAGAAAAGGGAGGGGGAAGGAAGGAAGGAAGGAAAGCAGAGGAAGGGAGAAAGGAATGGACGGAGGAGGAAGGAAGAGAGGGAGGAAGGAAGAAAGGAAGGGAAGGAAGGAAGGAA